TGGCCGCTTTCAGTGAACTTTCAAAGCTTCACCTTCAGTGCAAAGTACCATGAATGTATGACCTTTGTTGTATATTGCTGTCAGTGCTGTTTGATGTTTTGAAATAAAAGTAGACTATGTACTGCAACTTGTGTTGATGTTTTTGTAGATTCAAGTGGCATCTAATGTCTTTTAAAATAAATTTGGGGATTATTGACTACCAGTGGTATTTTGTGGGAAAAAAAGGTTTAATTGGCTCTTGTGGCCTTTATTTGATAGTGGGTAATGAGAGAAGGGGGAAAACATGCAGCAAAGGCTGGGAAGCGAACCCAGAAAAGCCACGTTGAGTTGGGCCTTCATATGTGGGTTGTGTTTAACCCCTGCACCACCAGAGTTCACCCTACCAATAGTATTTTAAAACTCAGATTTCTATGTTCTATATTTAATACTATTGTATTAAATGAACACATTCATAGTGTTAACTTTTGACACTATACACTAGTGTTGGGTAAATCAACACTGATGTGTGTTAAATTTCAACTACTGAGTGTTGATTCAACTCTCACAAATGACACTTTCTAAAGTGTAACTTTCACAATCAAGAGTGGACCAATATAGGCACTTTCAAAGTGTTAATTCAATTCTCTAGGAGTTGACTTAACACTTCCAAATTTGCTGTGTGTGATGGAAACGGCAAATTTAGAAAAAAAAACAACTTCCTACATTTTTCAAAAAAGGGTTTTTACACTTAAGGGGTTTATTGGATTTTTTGGGGGAAAGAGTTAAAAGGGGAATGTAAAACCATTAAGTTCTGATGTAGCGTACTTTTCATCACCACTTGAATAATCTGAAGGCCAGCCGTCATTTTGACCGGTTACAATTTACACCCTGAATATTCGATGCAGACACGCAGAGATTTTCAGTTTTACAGGCAGTTCAGGTAACTCTATGGATTAATCAATAACAAAAATCCCATCTGAGTCTCTTCTCTGATCTAAAATCTCAACTAACTGCATCTTAATATCTGGGGGGCTAAAAGCACATTAAAGAGTAATTGAGGGTCTGATGTAGAATGACATCATGAATTTATGTAGTTATGAAACTGTGTTATTTTCATCAAACTGTAAGATATTCCTGCTGATTTAACCTCATAAGGTAAAATAACTGAGTAAAGAAGACACAGACCATGTTAATGGATCAGAACCGGAGAGTTTGAGGTGTTCAGAAACGGTTTATGGTTACATTGGGGGTTAAACCTGCAGCATGTTCTGGTTTCATTCAGCTTCTACTGGCTTGGAATGTTAGAGCTTTTATTGTGAAGCCCTGACATTCAACTTCCGGCATGGTGTGTATTTGTGGAGCCGAGAAGCTTTAAACGACCGAGCTGCTGTTTCCAGCCATTAATGAGCATCATCGGAACATGAAGCGGGTCAGGGCATGAACATGGCCCACAACAGAAGCTTCTTCCTCCAAGGTAAGCGGTGACACTCCGCACCGGACACCGTACCGGACCGCTGCTTCTACTTCACCCGCACTCAGCCACTGGGACTCCGGCTGGCTCCACGCTGCTTCTCCCCATCATCATCTGCCTGGCCGGGGGGCAGGGAGGGCCGAATGTTCGGGTCTGGACCGGCTGGGGGACCGGCTATGGTTAGGGTTCGGTTGTTTGTGACCGGAATCGGCTCTGTTGTGGGGGCTGCAGCTATCCCTGTTAGCGCTGCTGTTAGCTGGATGTAGCCGCAGCATAGCCGGGCCTTCCTGTGGCTGGGAGGGGAGGCTGTAGCCCCAGAGCTGACTGGCTCACCGCAGATGGAGGCGCAAACAAGTAAACAATAAACAAACAAACAGATAAACAGCCTCTGATTGGCCAGAGTTCACTAACAGAATGCTAACTGGTGCTAACGGACATGCTAACAGGCTAGCTGTAGATCTGAGAGGAAAACATGTAAACAGAAGCAGGATTGGTGTGAATTCAGAGGAAATATAACCTGCACAGGATAATAAATCCAAACACATGAGATATTATGATTTTTCACTGTTACTGTTATTGTAGTTACTATTTACTAAAATCAGATAAAAACTCCTAAAATGAGATAAAATGGAAATGGAAACGGGATTCCTTCAAATTAAATAGTGTACAAAATAGATAAAAATATTAAAGTTCACACAAACGAGAATATATATATATATATATATATATATATATATATATATATATATATGTGTGTGTATGGGACAAATATCTTTAATCAGTTATTACTAACTTGTAACCAGCTCCTCTTCCTTGCTGAAAAGTTGTTTTTAGATTAGTTTAGTCCAAGTGTGCTGAGATATTTGCACTAAAAACCAGATAAAATACTATTTGCAGTAGAATTTGATATGGGGGGGATCCTGATTATTTTTATGTCAACAGTGCAGATGTTTAGATGGCAACCAGCTAGTTGGTTTGTTTTTATCATAAGTATGTTTTAGATTCAGGTATTTCTCTTTGAATCGAGCATTAGGAGTTCAACTGGTTTTCCTCCATCATCTGGTCTACGTTGGGGCCGGTTGTCTGTGGAGCAGTGTTCTGGTTCTGGATGTGTGGACCTCATCCAGAACCAGTTTACCTGCAGCCAGGTTGGTTCTGCAGATTACCTCCTGCTTGTGACCCAGGCCCAGCAGAGGGGTCCAATCAGCTGCTTCAGAAACAGGAAGTGGGAGTGTTGTGGTGCAGCTGGTGTTTCAGGTTAACAGTTCCTCAGCCGGAAAGAAGCAACAAGAGGAGAAAATAAAAGCTAAAAATAACAGAAAACTAATTAATTAAGAAAATGCTGCAATAAAACAATAGAAATGATGTAAAAATAACCAAATAACTGTAATCCACGTGTTCCCAGAATTCCTCAGTCGCATCCGTCTGGTTCCATGTAGGACTGGAACGATTAATTAATTATTAGAATAACCAATTAATCGTCATAATAATAGATCAGTTAATCGGTTAGTAAAATGATCGTTGCAGCGTGTGGAGCGGCTCTCGGTCTGATCCGTCTGGTTTCGGTAGTCGGTTCTTCAGGGACCAGATTCGGTCCGACTGTGCAGCTGGAACTGGTCCGGTCCGGTCCGGCTCATATGATGCATGTGTTCTGACCCGGTTCTGGTTTGTGTTCTGCTGCTGTTCCTGTTCTGACCCGGTTCTGGTTTTACTGTCTAAGCCCTGAATAGATCTGAGAGCAGGAGAGATGGAGGCTTCAAGCACAGCTGGAGCTTCTCGCTTCCTGGTGACCCCGAGGCGGAATCCCGACACCAGTAAGCAGCTCTGCTCTCACTTTTTTATCCCTGTTAGCCTCCGTTAGCTTCCATTAGCCTCCGTTAGCTCCCATTAGCCTCCGTTAGCTCCCATTAGCCTCCGTTAGCTCCCATTAGCCTCTGTTAGCTTCCACTAGCCTCCGTTAGCTTCCATTAGGCGCCGTTAGCCTCCTTTAGCCTCTGTTAGCTTCCATTAGCCTCCGTTAGCTTCCAGTAGCCTCTGTTAGCCTACAGTGCCCAGCTAGGCCCATAATTATTCATGCTTCTGTCAGATTTTGATAAAAAATTTTATTTATCTAAGAAATCTGAAAAAAAATGTTTATTACACATTTAATAAATATATGTTACTAAATGATTCTGTAATCATTATAAATGTTTGTTGGCAGCTTTCTGGACGCTCTCTCTGACTAAGTGTAGGGCTGAATCGATTAATTGGGATTAATTGATTACCGTAAGAATCATCAACTAATTTAGTAATTAATCGGTAAATGGAGCATCAAAGCTCCAAAAGGCTGGTCAGTGGTGAATTAGAATATGTGATAAAAATGTTTTTAAAACTCAAAATAGATAAATAAAACCTACATAGAAACGCTACAAAGCAAAAAAATATATACCAAGAGAAAAATGTGCAAACTCATTTCACTAAACTGAAGTCCTCCTGACCACTAGGGGGAGTCTGGAATTGTTCTGTAATATTAAATAACTACATGCTAAAAAAGCAAGTGGGATGCACTTTTTCTTTCTTTCACCCAACTTTCTTCTGAACTTCCCGGTTTTTTTTACTGAGCGCTTGGTCCCAGATAATCTGCTGGTCGACTCCCCCTAGTGGTCTGGAGGACTAACATCAGTTTGCAGCTCTTTATACTTGTTTTGTTTTGTGACTTGCGACATTTTTTGTTTTGCAGTATTTTTCTGTTGCGTTAGTTTTTGTGTGTTTTGGAGTTTGCATTGTTTATAAGTTTGATTTTTGTTTGAACCTGTGGGCCACCGTACTGCAGCAGAAACTGTAACATCACAAAATAAAGTTATCACAGAATTTTCTATTTAAATCTGAGAAACAATAATTAAGACAATCAGGGATGAAAAACATTAAAGGTCAGAAGTTTACATACACCTGGTGGAAGTGAAATCAGACCAGAATTTTGTGGGTTTTGTTTACCTTCAGGTTTGACATGAATCATGATGACTGAACCATCCAAACCTTTCTCCTCAAACCGCCACACTGTAGACAGGTCAAAGGTCATCGTGGCTCACGGTTCTGGACTCTCTTCTCTGCAGGGCGAGCGTGGTGAGCAAGGAGGAGATGGAGCGGCAGCAGGTGATCCCTCCGGAGGAGAAGAAGGTAATTCCTCCTGGTTCCTACCCGGTTCTGACCCGGTTCTGATGGTTCTGGTTCTGATTCTGCTTTGTTCTGCCCCAGTCTCCTTCGTTAAAGCACTACAGTTCTCCCGACCAGCTGAGGACGTACGGAAACCGAGCCAGCAGCCACATGCGGTCCCTGACCCGGCTGACTCCCCGGAGGTTCAGGTACGGCCCAGTTCTGCTTCTTCAACCGTACTGGTCCAACTGGTTGCACTGGTTTGTTGTTCCAGGACAGATCATCAATAATAGTCAATAAATAAACTATTATGAATATTGTTTTAACTCGTCAAATTATCAAAGTATCTTCAAAGAGTCGATGTAGATACTGATGCTGTGGGCAGGAAAGATCTCCAGTAGCAGTCAGTGTTGCATCAAACCTGAAGAGGCCTCTGACTGAAGAAGAAATCTGAAAGTCTTATGACCATTCTGACATGCTAACAGCTTTAGCAAGAATGTCTTAAATTAATTAAAAAAAAATGTAAGTTGGCCTGAAATATTTGAGTCACAGGTTTGACATCTAAACCATCTCATCTTCTTCTTGCAGGTTTTTGTTTTTTGTGAGATTTTTCTCTCGGGCAAAAGTTTGAGTTGCACTCAGACATCTTGAAGCCAGTTGGGCTAACGCTAACTAGCTGCTAATATACCCGTGCTAACTTGCTAGCTTTTGACAATGTCCTGTAGTACAGGACCATTAGCCATAATAGTCAAGGCAGTTTCATTTATAAAGCAGCTTTGAGCCAGAGACAACTCGGTGTTTCTAACAAGTTATAAACATGTAATAAGAAAAAACATTAAACAGTTTTTAATTAAACAAAAAATA